CTGGGTCGTTCTGAGGCTTTGTGTTTGGCTGACGGGGAGGTACCGGTGCTGTTCTTCCACAGGGAATTCAGAGGAGAAACAGATCTTGGCATGGATCTTTGGGACAGAATGGATGATGGGACAGAAGGTGAGTTGTAAATTGCAGGGATAAGACCCCACAGCGTAAAAGACAGAAGCAAAAAGAAGGTCAGAGAAGGGTCAGACAAGATTAGGGTATGGGGAGTAGGGCCTCCGACATCACCTATGGGCCCCAGCGAAGCAGCTGGATCTCCATTAAATTTGATTCCATTTTTAAATTTTAGGAGTTTTTTTTGTTTGTTTAAGAAAATGAAAGTTAAACATAGTTTAAAGAATCAAATATCAAAAATCAGTTGCCTACCCCTTCCTTTCCTGCTTTCCTGAGGAAACTACTTTCAGTTCTTATTAGATGATTCTTTTGGTGTTACCACCAGAGCTGCAAATGATATGGGCATATTGATACCTCCTGACTTCTTCCATGATAGGCATTTACATGCTGTGTCCTTTCCAATATTGCAGATGAGAGTTTCACCATTAGTCCCACCCTCATCTCAACCACACACGCACGTGCCCAATTCCTATCCCTCCCTCCTCCCAATAGAGGTATATCATAGTTTCGGGTATGTCGACTTCCAGTGTTCACGTTATTATGGCTGTATTCATGCTATGCAAACTGAATCACAAAATAATCACCATAATTATTTTTTTCTCTTTCCTCCATAGCTTTTTTAAAATTCTGCTGGAGTTAATAATGCCTCCCCTCCCCCATTTATTTGGTTATATTTGTGGTACTTATCATTAGTTCAACCCCTAATTCTCCCCCAATTGTGTGAACCTCCTCTCAATATTTTCGAACACATTCCTATCAGTGTCGCTTCCTTGAATAAACCTTCTCTGTAGTCTTCTGACCAGCTTCCATCTGAACAGACTGCTTTCCATTCCCAGCAAACAGCTGTCCCTCTGGGCTTTTCCTTTAGCTGGCGATTCCCATTGCCTGCCTCTTGTAAGGGATTCCTTGCTTCCACAATCTTACATCGTATTCTCTCTAGGGTTCCTCTCTTGTTTTGGTGGAGCACATCCTTTAGCAGCTTCCTAAGAGAGGATAAGGCAGGACCTTTTTTTGAAACTCTGCATATCTGAAAACATTTGATTTTCTTCTCAGACTTATTTATTTTGGTAGTTTGGGCATAGAATTCTAGGCAGGAAATGCTCTTCCTTCAGAACACGTTGTTTTACAGACTTTCAGTTTCCAGGCTTGATGAAAACTGATGATATTTTATACACTTTTTTTGAAAAAACTTTTTATGAAACCTGTTTTTTATCTCTCTGAAAGCCTGTTGGATCTCCTCTTTGTCCCCAGTTTTCTGAAATTCCGCGGTGATGTGTAACACAGCTCAGTTCTACAGAGATATATAATAAGCAGGTGGTATATGGTTTATGACATTAAACACTCCAGGCTATGCAAAGATATACATAAGTCCTTAGAGAGCTAGAAATCTGAGAAAAATGTAGGAGATAAGGCAAACAGAAAATTAATGATCATGTAGTATTACACATATAAATTATACATATAAGACTTGTAAGGGCAACATTTTTAGAAATTCCAAATGCTAGTATTTTAAGGAGGAATAATCCAGGGTCTCAACCTGATTCACTTCATTGGAACTTCCCAAGCACTCACCAAACTCCATGCTTCTCACATCTACAGCCCGGTTTAGCTGGTAGTAAGCTATCAGTAAAGGTGAGACATTGTGACTTCCAAGTCCTGTTCTTACTGCCAGCAGTTGCTGTTAGCCTCTAGGGGGCAGATTTCGCTACCAGTCTGCAGAAGGCCAGGAAAGGTTGAGTTTAATGCCAGGGGTTCCTGCAAGCTTCCTCTGGAGTCAGTTGGGGATAGAACCAGGAACCAGAGCCCCCTTTCAGGAAGCAGTCTCTAAAATGTATTTCTCCTTCTCCATCCAGGTGTACCTATAGACACCGATAGATAGAAAATACCAGCCGGGCGCGGTGGCTCACGCCTGTAATCCTAGCACTCTGGGAGGCCAAGGCAGGTGGATCACTAAAGGTCAGGAGTTCGAGACCAGCCTGAGCAAGAGCAAGACCCCCATCTCTACTAAAAATAGAAAGAAATTATTTGGACAACTAAAAATCTATATAGAAAAAATTAGCCAGGCATGGTGGCACATGCCTGTAGTCCCAGCTACTTGGGAGGCTGAGGCAGCAGGATTGCTCGAGCCCAGGAGTTTGAGGTTGCTGTGAGCTAGGCTGACGCCACCTCACTCTACTCCAGGCAACAGAGTGAGACTCTGTCTCAAAAAAAAAAAAAAAAAAGAAAATACAGATAGAACATACAGATAGATATAGTACATAGTCAGTTGCTTAATAAATGTTTTTTCAACATGATGGAAAATCAATACAGAATATTTCTCTCTATGTAATATCTACCCAATGGAGATAAGATATTGGGCAGATATGGAGCAGTCCGCCCCCTGGTGGGAATCTGCCAAGAGTCAGCACTACCCTGCCAGAATATCATTATTATTGTTGAAAACAAATACACACATTATCTTGTTTAATTCTCAGAATAATCCTATGAGGCAGATATTTTTAATCCTCATTTGATAGCTTCAGAAACTGAAGGATGGAGAGGTTAAGTGACTTCCCCATGATCCCGAAGCTAATAATAGCAGAACAGAGCTTCAAGTCCAAGCAGAGCCAATTCAGGGCTCACAACAGATCCCGACTCGCTTCTCCACAAAAGCAACTCCAAATATCCCAGGTTAGACCTCTTGGAATTTGTCATCAGGCTGAAGTGCTGCTTCAGAAAAGCTTATGGGAGAGGCCACATGGAAGGGAAATCTTACCATTGTTCATTCTGATGCTAATTCACTATGAATAACACACCTGACTCTCCGGGTTCTGGCTTCCTCATCTACAAGGTGGAGTTAAGAATAGATTCTGAAGAGTTTGGGGAGAGGTCCATGATTACCTAGGGAAAAGAAACAGTGAGAGGTCTCAGAAGGCCTTCCAAAAGGTTCTCTGCTCCCTAGAGAATGATGGGAAACACTGGAGGAATTTTGAGAATTCAGGACGTTAAATTAATGTAGAAATTTTTAGATGGGTATGAATTTCTTCTTCAAATATTCCATTATAATCCAACACCCCACAATTTCTACCAAAAAGTGGGTGCCTCCAAGCAGGGAGTGATCATGTGAATCTAGTTCTCTCTCCTGGGAGTCAGTGGTTCTAACCCCACCAGGGGTGCTCCAACTTGGATGACCTGGGGAGCCAGAAACATGCAGATGTCCTTGTCCTTCCTCAGAGATTCCGATGTGGGTATGGCCCAGGCATCTGGAATGTTGAGTCCCCACCATATGATTCTAATGTGTAACGTGGAGAACCGCTGCTCCAGAGCTTTAAATTAATTATCTTTGGTCTGAAGTTTAAAAAAAGAAAGAAAAAAAAAAAAGGAAGCAGAGGCACCCAGTAGCTCTCAAATTTTAATGCGCAAACAAACAAATCTCCTGGGTATCTTGTTAATATGCAGCTTCTAATTCAGTAGGTCTGCAGTGGGCCTGGCATCTTGCCCTTCTTGTCTTTTTTTTTTTTTTTTCTCCTGACACTGGAGAGGACTCTGCCCTTCTAACAAGTTCCCAGGGGGTGCCCATGCTGCTGTCCATGGACTGGGCTTGAATAGCTAGCCTATAGCTTGCACGATTACAGACTTGAAGGAGAATTAAGGCTAGGACCTTAAGTAAGAAGTTACTTCAGTTTTGTAAGCCTCATTTTCTGTAAAATGCAGTCCAGCAATACTAATTATATCACAGAATTCTTGTGATGCTTACTTGGGATAATACCTGAAACGTGTTTAGCACAGTACACCCGAGGTTATAGTTTTTTGCTAGGACAGATAGCCAGCATTCATGGAAAGCTTACTATGTGCCAGGAATTTTCTAACTGCTTTCATTTATTAACTCTTTCAAGCCTCAAAACAACACCGTAAGGCAGGCACTATTATTTCATCAGCCCCATCTTACAGATGAAGAAACTGGGGCACAGAGAGGTGGAGTACCTTGATCTACAGAGACACACCTCGGAGTAGCTAAGCTGGTGCTTGAACCCAAGGAGGATTCGGGCTCTTTACCACTGTCCCTCGCCGGGGCTGAAACGGCTCGGTGCGGCGAGTTAAGGGTTTCCGCCTGTGAAATGGGCTGGCACCGGCAGGTGGCAACCTAGGGCCACGCGGGCGCAGAGATCACTTACCAGACCGCGCTGCCCTAAACATTTCACAACACAACCGCTGACAGCTTCTGACGCTTCTCCGAACTCCCCTCTCCCTTCCACCCTAGGGTCCTCACCGTGGAGGCTGCCCAGAATCCATCGGGAAATAATAGCCCTACATAACAGGTTCAAATCTAACTTCCCCAAGACAAAATCACGTCCTCAGGGACAGCCGCGAGCAAAGCGAGTTTTCCGCAGCTCTACTTTAACCCAGGAGCGCACAGACCAGGAAATCTACAAATATTTTTTTATACCGAAAGGTCAGCAAGGAGTGGGGAGCCCAGCCAAGAGGGAGGAAGCCGGGGAAGCCCTCTCGGGTGTCCGGGAACACCTTGGCAGCGCCCGGCACCAGAGCACGCGCGCAGGGCGTGCGGACCGGCGCGGAGGAAACTCTATTTGCGAATTGCCTTGTAAGGGTCGGGGGATCTGCTCACCGGGGCCGCTGGGAGCGGGGCAAAGGAGTTTGAGGGGCAGTGCAAGGCGTGGGGGTGCGCGGGCGGTTTCCATGGCGCCCGGGGCGTAGGGGAGGAATGCATCCCGCAAGCGGTGGCGAAACAACTGCGCGGCCGGCCGGGCCGGGCTCGAGAAGGGAAGGGAGACGGGGTGGGGGCGGAGTAGGGGGATGGGAAGCCAGCCAGGACGGGGGCGGGGCGGTCACGTGCGCCCGAGGGGGCGAGGCCCCGAGCCGACCCGGAGCGAACTGAGCAAGCGAAGTAGCTGAGCCTGGAGAGAATTTTCTCCAGTACCAAAAACGCTGTGGGGGGAACCCAAGGCGGGAGCGGGCTGAGGCGTCTACAGCCGGCCTGGGGACAGCGATCGTTGCGGGTGGGAACAAAGAGCTCCAAGAAAAAGTGGGAGCAGGAGCGTGGAGGTGAGCGCAGGGAGCCCCACTAGCGGCTTTTGACGCTGCCTCGGATCTCCGTTTCTTCTGGGGCAGGCGGAGGCAAGTGTCCCGTCAGCTCTAGGGGACGGCCACTGTCCCATAAGACTGCTGGAGTCCTCAGCACCTCTGCAGGACTCCAGGGGAGGCTGTGGTCATGGTGAATGAAGATCCCAACCAGCAGGAGCGCGATGACACCCCTGCGCTGGAGTCACCACTCCGAGAGGACCGCAGCGTCTCCATCCACCCCAGCGTCTCAGCCCACCCCAGCGTCTCCATCCACCCCAGCGTCTCTGTCCACCCCAGCAGCTCAGCGCACCCCAGTGCCTTGGCCCAACCCAGCGACTTGACCCAACCCTGTGGTTCCAGCCCCGAAGACCTCAGCGTGATCAAGGTGAGCAGGCGCCGGTGGGCTGTGGTCCTGGTGTTTAGCTGCTACTCCATGTGCAACGCCTTTCAGTGGATCCAGTACGGCTCCATCAATAACATCTTCATGAACTTCTACGGGGTCAGCGCCTTTGCCATCGACTGGCTGTCCATGTGCTACATGCTGACCTACATCCCTCTGCTCCTGCCCGTGGCCTGGCTGCTGGAGAAATTCGGCCTGCGCACCATCGCCCTCACCGGCTCGGCTCTCAACTGCCTGGGGGCCTGGGTGAAGTTGGGCAGCCTGCAGCCACACCTCTTCCCGGTCACGGTGGTGGGCCAGGTCATCTGCTCCGTGGCCCAGGTCTTCATCCTGGGCATGCCCTCCCGCCTGGCTTCTGTCTGGTTCGGGGCTAATGAGGTTTCAACAGCGTGCTCCGTGGCTGTCTTTGGCAATCAGGTGGGTAGAGGAGTTTGTGGATGTTCAGAGGAGTGGGCATCTTATCATCGCTGGACCGAGTGTGTTAGATTGCACCTAACTACTGAGCACAGGAGGCTATGATTTTCTGACTGTTCAAGAGTGTTTGTGACTCAGGGTGACTGTGTGGCTGGGTGTGACCCACAGTGTGATGACTGGGTGATTGTGACTAAGTGACACTGTAAGAGAAGTGGGAAACAAAAGCAGGGGACCTGCTCTTTGGTCCACAATTTCTCCTTCCCCAGCAGAAAGCATGCTTCTTGAACATACTCTACTTTGTGTCATTCCTGAACCTGCGTTAGTCCACCAACTTAGACCTGTGACTTCAGGAATGTTCTTCTTTCTCTGGCAGAAGCCCCTGAGCTTCAGACTATTTTGATGCCATCAGAATTTGGCAGGTGTTGTTGGCTAGACCAGCAAGCTTTCCTAGAGTGCTGTACCTCCTGTACTGCGGCGTAAAATTGCAGAGCTCTGCCTGCTGGTGTTTGGCACTGTTCTTACCTTCTTTTATACACAGCTGAAGCCAGGACAGTGGGAACAATGCTCCTTCCCTGGGATTTAGAGCCAATTCCAGCAGGATGGAGTAGAAATCTCTCTGAATTTCCAAGGCCTAGAAGGGCTAGATTATGTCTTAATACTCTCTCCTTTCTTCTTTTTGCAAGGAGAATCCCAAACTATTTGCATCTCACTGTGGCTATGATCCAGAAAGTTGACCATATTATGAATCTGATGGTCTTCTCCAAATATTTGAAGCAAATATTAAGGGAAATATTTGAGACAAACCTTAAGCTGGACCACTGCCTCTGGGTCTCACCTCTTCCCAAGCACATGCAGTCCTGGCTGTGTGTTTAACAAATGATCAGTAATCCTTAGTTCTCATAGGTCTGTTTTTTCTGACCTGTTCATTTCATTTAGAAAAGTTAACCTTGCATTTAGAAATTTTGCATTTGGAACAGAAACTTTCCAAAACTTCTCTAATGGCAAATTACACTTCCGTTCATCTTTACCACCAAGAAGGTGATGTGAGCTAAATTTCCCTGTGTCAGTGAGTTCTGCCACTTGGGTAACTGCCTAAGCAATTGATGAAAGCAGACAGAGAAGCCACCTTTAGCCCACAAACAAGCAACGTAAAATCCCTTACCCCATTTTCACCTATGGCTGTGAATATTTTGAAGATTGAATTGATTCCAGGCCTGAAGTTGAAATTGGATGAATCTTTTGTTTGGGACAATTTAAAAGCAGGTAGTGATGATATTTATCGACCCTCTGTCTTCTAAAATAATGTGACTGTGGATTTTAACACCCTCATTGCAGCCCTGCTGTTGGATTTGGCACTATTGGGTTTTTCCTTTATAGGAGGGTAAAGCTAGGGGAAGAAGGGCAGGAGCTTGCCACCTTCCAGAGGGTTAAATATCCCTGTAAGCAGCAGAATAGAATTCAGACAAGGTCACTGCAACCCCAGGCCCACTGTTTGCTGAGGGCAGGATTGCTAACTGGGAGAAGCCCTCGTTGTTGGCTGGATGATGGGAGATTCTGTGTGTGTGTGTGTGTGTGTGTGTGTGTGTGTGTGTGTGTGTGAATTTGTTTCTACTGGGGTGTGAGACATGGGGTGGGAAATGTCACTGTGGGGTATAGTATACTCCTCCTTACAGGGAATGTCCATTCTAATCTTCCTGGGGTGCTTTGTGGAACTTTTTCTTCATGATTCTAATACCTTTTTTTGTTAATCATAAAGCACAAACTAAGAGATTTTCACACTCCTTCTCACACACCTGTGAAGGAACTTAATATTAGATATATCTTTAAAATTTAATAGGATCCTATTGCTGCTCTGACCAGTGGGGGTAAAATTGTATGGGAATAGCTATTCATCCCACCTCTACCCACCACCAAGGCCAGAAAATGCTGAGAACTTTATATTTAAAAACACTTTGACATGGTATATTTGTATAATAGAGCCATCTATTTAGTTTGATCTTTTTAGTTTGATCTATTTGGGTCTAACCCTCCGTGCTAAGTAAGTTATACATTATGAAAAACTGAATTGTTTGCTATACTAACTCAAGTAGAGATGACTATGTTTGCATCTTTGTCATGTTTTAGCCCTTTTTTCCTGAGTAAAGTACAGCTGAATGGAGGAGAAATATTAACGGAGCACCTTGAGTTTTGCTGCTTAGAAAATAGACTCCACGAAGCTATTTAAACAGACTTCAAATGTTATTATGCAAAGTAATTCTTTATGGCCTGCAAACTTCACTTTGACCCTGACCACACAGATTACCCTAACCCCTGCACCCTTGTAATTCTGACCTCTCTCTTCAAATGCTTTTTATATGCTCCACACATGCACCAGCCTCTGCTTGCGTTAAATCCATCATTTATTCATTCAACAAGCTTTCCTAGCACCTGCCTTCCTCAAGACATTGTGCTAGGGCTGCAAAGATAATCCCTGCCTTCGCAGAGTTCCTGCACCAGATTTTAAAATTGTACCAGGCACCAAGATTCAGATTAAAAAATAAAAACAGATTATAGCATAGAGGATTTATTTTCAGTTCTCCCTGAGGTTTTTAGTATTTTCTTTGCCTAACTGCCATGGGAAAGGGTGAAGAAAGGGAAGGGACCTAGTATCTATTAAACACTTACTACATACAAGGCACTTTTCCATCTATTATTTAATTTAATCCTTTTAGGAACTCTGTGAGGTAGGTGAAATTGTTCCCATTGTTACAGGTGAGGAAAGTGACCCAGATAAATCAAGCAACCTTATCTAGGGTCTTATAACTACTGACTGATGGTAGAAGAGAGATTTGAACCCAGTGCTACCTCCAAAGCCACCGTCAGTAGGCCCATATGGATTATGGAGCAAATATATCTGTGATGGATTCCAGGGATCTAAGTTTTCTTTTGGTGTCTGGAGGGTTGTTGTTGGTGATGAAATTTCCAGTTATTTTGCTCAGAGTTTGAGGGCCTGGGACTTACCTTTGGTTTTGAAGTTCCTCTTAGAGGGCTGATTCTTCCTCTTTGAACCTAGCACAGTGACTGTGTTGTTAGGAAGGTGGGGATGGGGGAGTCTCTGGCAAGAAGAAACCAATAAATCCTGAAGCGAGGGGAGAGAGGGAAGACAAGCCTCAAGACTACAACTGAGGCCCTTCCCTTTTGTTGGTACACTCTGACCAGTGGCTCCAGGTGGTGACAGCCTGGCATTTTTGAAGCAACACCAGCAGCATTGTTTCGAGGGAGAATCTGTGTGGGGTTTTAAGTGACACGTACACATTATTATTACGCAAGTGTCAGAAGAGAGCCTTGTGTTACAGTCTGATAGTTGGATGGCACGGGAGAAGGTAGATGTGGGAGCTAAAAGAGATCTTCAAGGTCAGCCCTAGCCCAGGTGAGGGGCAGAAAGAGGGGAAGGGACTTCCCCAAGAACCTTTGGGCAGCTCATAGCACAGTGCCACCCAGATACAGAGTGAGAGAGAATCAGTTTGCTTCTAGAAGTAAAGAAAATACAGTAACCTTACACAACCAGTTCTATAGAAGCCACAGCTGGCCATCTAAAATAGCACTGTCCAGTAGAAATAAAATGCAAGCCCCAAATGCGAGGCACATGCGTAACTAAATTTTCTGGTAGCCACGTTAAAAATGTAAACATAAAAAAGGTAAAAAGAACAGGTGAAATTAGTTTTAGTAATTGTCTTAACATGTTTTATGTTGCTATCACAGAATACCACAGACTGGGTAATTTATAATGAATGGAAATTTATTTGGCTCATGGTTGTAGAGGCTGGGAAGTCCAAGATGAAAGGACCGGCATCTATTGAGGGCCTTCTTGCGTCATAACATGGCAGAAGGCTTCTTATGGGCAAGAGAGAGAGTGAGAAAGGGCTGAGCTAGCTTTTATAACAAACCTCATGTGATAACAACATTAAGCCATTAATGAGGGCAGAGCCCTCATGACCTAATCACCTCTTAAAGATCCCACCTCTCGGGGCCAGGTGCGGTGGCTCACGCCTATAATCCTAGGACTCAGGGAGGCCAAGGTGGAGGATTACTTGAGACCAGGAGTTCAAGACCAGCCTGAGCAAGAGTGAGATACTGTCTCTACAAAAAATAGAAAAATAAGACAGGCGTAGTGGCGCATGCCTGTAGTCCCAGCTACTCGGGAGGCTGAGGCAGAAGGATTGCTTGAGTCCAGGAGTTTGAAGGTTGCAGTGAACTATGATGATAGCACTGCACTCTAGCCTGGGAAACAGAGTGAGACCTTGTCTACAAAAAAAAAAAAAGTCCAACTTCTCAACACTTGCATTGGTGATTAAGTTTTCAATACATGAACTTTGGGGGACATATTCAAACCATAGCATTCTGTCCCTGGTCCCCGAAAACCCATGTCCCTGTCACATACAAAATACAATCCTTCCATCCCAATAATCCCAAAAGTCTTGTTTTGGCACCAACTTCAATGTCCAAAGTCTCATCTGAAACTCAAGGCAAGTTCCTGCCAGCTACGAGATTGTAAATTTTAACACAAGTTATCTAGGTCTAAGATACAATGATTAAACATTGGATAAACATTCCTATTCCAAAAGGGAGAAATCTACCAAAAGTAAGGGGTAACACCTGTAATCCCAGCTACTCAGGAGGCTGAGGCGTGAAGATCACTTAAGGCCAGTAGTTCAAGACCAGCTGGGTAACATAGCATGACCCCCCACCCCTTAAAAAAATGAAAAAAATTAGCCAGGCATGGTGGTATGCACCTGTAGTCCCAGCTACTTGGGAGGCTGAACTAGGAGGTTCACTTGAGCCCAGGAATTCAAGGCTGCAGTGAGCTATGATTGTACCACTGTACTACAGTGTGAGTGACCAAGCGAGACACCAGCTCTTTAAAGAAAAAAAAAAAATCAAAGCCAGGCATGGTGGCCCACACCTGTAATCCCAGCATTTTGGGAGGCCGAGGCAGGAAGATCCCTTCAGCCCATGAGTTCAAG